AATGAGAAATCTTAATAACAGGTTTACCGTAACTTGATAATCGAATAAAATAATACAATTTTGAAGTCATAATAAAGTCCAAAATATTAATGGTTATTCACGAAATTATCACTTGAAAGAGTAGTGTAATTAAAATTCTTTTAGCTTTACTAATATAAAGCATTTATAATTAAGTGCAAATCGTACCAAACAAGATGTGTCTGTTAATGACAATGTACACACGGCTACAAATCAAGTTACCATAAAAAGTCGAAATTTGTTACATTTCATTATCAAGAAATCTGCAGATTAACCAAAAAAGACCTTCAAGAAATCAATATGGCGTTTTGCTTACCTAAATACACAATATCGAATATCTAAATATCCAATTAACCGAACAAAATTCTGTAGGGTACCATAATCCCGACGATTTATTGACAACTCATCTGTTGATAAACAGCTTATTAATTTAACTGATTATCGTCATATGACTAACGATTAATTTGAGAAATTAATAATGGCATCTAATTTTGATCTGATATTGTTTATTCATTTTCAACCACATTGAATCGGTCGTTCGATACAAAACATTTCATTTGCATAATCATTCATTATTTTCTGTGGTTATACTAAATTACCTTCTGAATGTGTTAGATGAAATTGTACTGTATAAATGTTATCGTTACATCAAACTCTTTGTTTCCAAACAAGTAAATAACTTTTCAAAGAAAATAGTTGTTTATGGTTATAACAATCGTTAATGCATTTTCTGATAAAGTGATGGGGACATAAGCAGACATTTAAAGTGATGTAATCCGTCATTCTGTTTCGATTTGAAAATATAAAGTATGTTTACATCACGATATGTGATTGTGTTAAAATTAAATAGATAAGTAATAATAAACATACTTTCATATATCTATATATACATGGTATGTAACAAAGTCGCTTCCCTCTATCTGTACGCTGGGATCTTTAAACAAATCGAATTTTAATGCGTTTTTTTTTCGCTCCGAAACTACTGGAACAATTTAAAAAATCCTTACCTATGGAATGCTACATCATGTGCGGTGGACATAGGCTATATTTTATCCCAAATAACTGCAAATAAAGGAATGAAGATGGGAGTGGAAGCTTGTATATGGAATTAAAATGTCCCCATAGTAACTATAACCTACTTAGTTCCCTAGGACCACACTATTAGAAAGCTAGTCTTTTATATACTAGCTACAAGAACTACAAATACGCTACCCTAAAACAAAAAAAACTATAGACTATTTATAAGCAAATTTATAGACGATACCAATCTACGCAGCCACAAACATATTTATAAGTTACAATACATATGTAAATGTACTCGTATAATATATACAAATACTTATGATCCAAATTTCTATTTACTCAAAAGTAACACATTAGTTAGCTCTTTGATTAAATGGCAATTTAACAACACGGTTTATCAATTAGCGAAGTAGCTGAACATACATTCAACAATACTAGCAACAGAACGAGTCACAGTGGTGAAGAAAAATATAGAATTAATTACAAAAACACAGCGGGTTTTCAATCCGCTATAATGTTGAACATATTATCGTGAATCAAAAAGACAGGCGAAAAATTAAACGGTGGTTTCGACCAGTTAGCTGTGTAGAAATATTACTTCCTGAACCGAACCGAATGGGAACCGAACCTTACAATAATGAATGAATGAATATATACTTTATTGCCCAGTAAAACATTAACATGAAAACAAATATTATTAGAAACATCGATGCAAAAGGCGGCCTTATTGCTAAGGCAGCAATCTCAACCAGGCTACCTTTGGCTAAAAGAAGCTATACCGATTGAGTAAGAGACTGTGGGCTAGTGTATTAAAGAAAGATGAATAAGTCAAAGTCAAAGTCAAAATAATCTTTATTCAAATAGACTTCTTAAAAGTACTTTTGAATCGTCCAACATTTTTGCCCTACCACTCGTTCAGGACGTCTTTTGGCTGATAAGAAGAACGAGCAAGAAACTCACCAGCTCTAATAAGAGTAATGACATTTACAAAAACCATGTCATTACCAGATCAATACATTATAAACAGAGATAAAAAAAAACTATGGTCTTATAATAATAATAACATAATCATTTAATAATAATGGAAACAAGATAATGAGTTTAGAAGTAATCACCTATCCAGTTGCTGGATCATCTCAAGTCCAAGCGTTCTTATCTGTTATATAATCGGATACCTTATAATAAGCTTTTTTAATAAGTATTTTTTTAATAGTAGATTTAAACTGCATGATATCTAATTGTTGTATTTTGCTTGGGACCTTATTGTAGAAGCGCACACAAAGACCCTTGAATGATTTATTAAGAAGAAAATAACAACCACCAAAATTACAATACAACCATCTATTCGTCAATAACGTTGTGACGAACATTACTCATTAAGCTGCAGCAGTTGTGGATAAATATTTATCGAAGTACTAACGGGGCCGTTTTAAACTTTTATTGAAATAGTTCGGTGTTTACCCTTACCGCGTCACTATGGTGTTCGGATTATCAATGTACCTATATTACTTTTTAAAGTTCCAGTCGAAAATACTTAAACCCAGAACTCTTATAGGATCACTCGAGTGTCTGCCTGTCTATTACAGTTTTCTCCAAAACTACGGACCGATTGAATCGAAAGTTGGTTCATTTAAGTAAGTTGACGACTCAGAGATAGCGGTATGACGTAAATAAAAACGCGTGTTTAATAGTTAGTTATACTATTTATAACAATAACGTCCTAACAAATTGTTTTATTAGATTTGTCTCAAAGCAAAAAATTTTGTGATGAAAAAATAAATATTTGTTCGGTAAAATTACTAACACATATTATTTGAAATAGAAATATATTTTGTAAGTTTTTAATGTCCGGAAAACTCTCAGTATTCTGGACATCAATTAAATACCTTCGTGAATGGAGAACGTACGTGCATACTTCTGTCAATTATTTAACACACAAATTATTCCGCAACATATATTGAAATTGTAAAAATAAGAAAAAATAAAATCTATGCCAGGTAACTTAAAGCTTTCGCCATGCAGTTAATTTTTATAGAGATGACAGCGCAATGTGCGTTTAATTAAGGTTAAAATCCAAAAGTAACAACTAAATTAGATAATAAATTATGTAATTAATTTATTATTATTACTTTTATTAAAAATGTTATAATAACTAACTATAAAATGGAGTCATATACTCTCATAATGACGAAAGTTTTATATTTTATTTGTTTCTTTAGAGGGATCCTATTCAGTTATTTACTTAAACACAAAAGAAAACACAAAGTAGAGCAAGACCAAAAATCGAAAATATCTTGAGTTTATCATATTTAATCAATTAAGCATTCACAATGCTATACTGAAAAATAGTCTTTATGAAAATTTCATAAAAAATCATTTTCTGCCTGGCACTCTGCGAACCTATGACTTAATCATAAATTTGCTTACATTTAATTATCAATAATTATAGTTGATAGAACTTTGAAACAAAGAATCTTCAATATAAAATTTAACAATATCATTAATGTTCCTTTTTTGGCACGTGGCATTAGCCGTTATCTTATTTTATATCTTAATGGAAGCCCGACACGTGCCGGCAGGTATATTTGGTTAACTCCAGAGGTCCCAAAAAAAGTTTTTTCTCTAGTTCGACAAAAAACTAACTACGTTCAAACATGCAGAGCGACGGCAGATGTCAGTTTCTTCACAGCTTTTGTTTTATTTCTTTTTAAAATTAACTGTTATTTTATTATTTCAATGCTTTTTTTTATTCATTATTTTTTAGTCTTTATTTTATTTTATATTATTAGCTTTGAAGACTTTTTGTAGACAGCCATAAACAAATAAAAGTTATTGCAAACATCCCACGACTATTAATCTTACGTAATTTTTTCATTAAGTACACAAGTAGCAATCATAGTTTTTGTAACACATGATCGTAAAAATTGTAAATTTTGATTATACAGACAAATACTATGTATGATGCTGAGATAGCATACAGCATGTGGTATTATTTGCGGTGGCCAGGACAAGATGCTATATGAATATATCACCATCTGTTTTTTTCTATTCTATTTTATTATATAATTCCTATTTTAATTCATAATTTTAGTTGGGATTCGCAAAATATCAATATTTATCTAACAGAACATATCATATTACGACCTATAATAATCATAACCCAAAATAAGTACGTTTATTGTACTCGTATGCGGCAAATTATATGCGCGGTAAATTATAATTAAAATATAATTAATCAAAGATTGACTATTTCCTCACCAATATTACCTCATATAGTCCATCCGTCCATATCCTTAGATTTCTTTATTTATATAATGAAGAATAGGAGAAATAATATTTAACCCAATTATCATCATCAGCCCTTTTACGTCCCCACTGCAGGGGCTCAGGCCTTCCTTATGGATGGTTAAGAATTTAACCCAAACAACATCATAATTCGGTTTATTCCAACGACGTCAAAATTTTACTTTCGAAGGAAAGTCGAGCGAGCGCAACATAACAATATGACCATCTGTCGCGGACTAAATTGGTCAACAAAAGGTTTTTTCTTCGTTTAGCCGGCTGCGTTTGATAAATTTTGAAACGAATTGCGATGCAGCCGGCCGAACAGTTATTTGGAGTTAACCTATTTTTCTTTACAGGCGGTCAACTATATCGTATGCTAACACTTTAACGAAACAATTAGTGTCGATTACTTGCAATGAGTTATTAATTCTTACAAAATGTTACATTTTTACAGTTTTGCACCCTTTCCAGATAAAAGCTATTTTCTGTATGTTCTTAAAATGGTAGCAAGCAAAAAGAAAAAGATTAATTTAACCATTACTCAGGTCTGCAGGAACACCGATTTTTTTTTTTCTTTGAAAATAATTTAAATCCCAAAAAACCTTTTAAATCTCAATTCACTTAAACACACATTAAACGATATAATAAGCATGAAGTCTCGACTCTGTGTCAACTTTGCTTACACAATGGGATTCTTTTGAAATTCCTTTAGAGCATTTTACCGAGGAAGAGTGAACCTCTTTTTAAATTTATTTTAATCTATATTATCAAATTCTTAAAAAATGGAATTCGTATAAAAAATGTATTTTATGTTTTGAAAGTAGGTAACTGGAATACAGGAATAATGCCTTTTATTTTTGTTTCAGAATGTGATTTCACACATCAAGCCATCAATGACGGTAACATACACTTGACCACAACGCGGACAATGCGGTCACAAACTACAAAACCTTTACCTAAGAAAGGGGCTCTGAATAAAACTTTAAAAGCCAGTACAAGTTCAAAACCGACTAAGAAAAAATCTGTGACGCCAAAAAAAGTAAAGCGTCTCGTAAATAAATCACTCATCAAGAGCCCCAAAAGAAATGCTGCTAAAGAGGACATCACAAATAACAAAACCGATGGAGAACCTGGTTCTAATGACAAAAATGAGCCATCGCCTGAAACATCTAAAGTCAGTCCTTCAAAAGCAAATCCATCTCGAAGTGAATCGCCCACAAAAAAACCGCAAAAAGGCCCCAAAGAAAAGAAGGATCCTATAAAATCTGCATCAGATGTAAACACTAAAAAGAACATTTCTAAAAAATCTGTTAAAGTGGGAAAGAAAGCCAAAACTACTAAAGCCAATACTAAAAAAGATGATCAAGATGCTGATAATGTTAAGTATAAAATTAATTTAGACGTGACTAAGAAAACTCCATCGAAATTTTCTAAAGCAAAAACAATGAACAAAAAGAGTAACGTCACAAATCAAAAGAAAAAATCTACTGTCACCAAATCAGATGTTAAAGAAAAAGTATGTCAAGAAGAACCTAGCAAAATTGATAAAGATAACGACATCAAAAATGAGGACGATAACAAAAAACCTCTTGATAATAAACATGACACCCAGTTAGATACCAAGACTAAAATTGAAAACAAAATTGCGGTGAAATCTGAAACAAACCATGACTTGTCAAGCAATACAAATAATATCGCTTCTTCACACGTTTTGGTTAATAATTCTCCTGAAACTCCAAAAGTTGAAACAGAAAGACCTCCAAAGTTTTTTACCTCCAGTAGAACACCAAGAACAGTGGATATAGATGTCAAATGTTGCAAAAATTCTAAAGGAAACTTAAGCGTATCTGAAAGATTTTTATCAATGAAATTTGAAACGAAATCAGATGACAATAACAAAGAGAAGACTGTTTCAAACACACTTGTCTCCCAAGGGCCGGAGATTGACGTTTATACTTTCACAGAAAAAGTCGATTCCCCTAAAAGCATTCTATCGGATTTTCGAAGTCCTATAAATAAAAACGTCGGTAGAGTAAGACCTATAGCTAGAGTGAAAGGAACTATTATAGATAAAAAGTCTGAATCAGAGAAGAAAAAATATTCACCTCATAGACCAATAGAAGAAGTTGTAAAACAACTCAAAGCAAGCAAAAGGTCTGAAGACTTAAGTCTTGCTACGGCTGAAGTAACTTTAACAAATGCAAATGCTGAATCAACTAATAGTGAAGAAAAAGAAACAGATGATAAACCTAAACCTATTATCAGTAAATCCTACAAAATGGTAGCGAGAAAATCAAGCGTAACAGGAAAACCATTTAGTCCTATTAAATTTCTTGATCAAGACTTAAGTCCCACTAAAAATGAAAAATCTACTTCTTCTACTTCTCCTGTTTCTCCTGTTACAATAAAAAAGTCACCAGCCAAATCTAAGAAAAAACAAAAGAAAGCTAGTATGTCTGACGAAGACATTGATACATCCAAATTTTCTCTTAATAAAAATAATTTCCATTATACATCATCTGAAGAAAGTTTGAATGATTCTAATGATGACAATGACGTAAAAGAGTCATCCGGATCGGAATCCTCTAAAAGCAAAAAAATCAAAAATAAAAAGTATAAAAGAATTACTGACGGTGCTAAAAAAACAACCTCCTCAAAAGAATTAAAGGAGTTATCAAAAGATTCCCTCATTGATCTCAAAGATAATTCACTGTTACTAGGAGAAAAACCTAGCAAAAGGCGTCTCAAGCTATTGTCGATGTGGACAGGACCCAAAAAGCATAGGATGGCATCCTTAAATGCTATGGCAAAAGTTCATTGCCTTTATGAAAATGAAAGTCGAACGCACATGGAACTCGGCTTGATGAAAACTATTGATAGACAAATCATTCCAAGCACATCAAAAATAATACCCTCAAAGAAAAATGAATCGAAGACGAAAGACACAGAAAAATCTTCAAGTACATCTGAATCAGAGTACGAAAATAAAACAGATAAAAAAGATGAAAGTTCAGAAAGTTCCGATGATAATCCCCCTCTCCGATCCTTACGCGGTGTACCAGGAATCAGAAGTGCCGGTAAATATTGGGATCCAAAATCGTCTACCTCATCTAGTGAGGACAGTGAATTAGAAACCAAAAAGAAAACTGTAAATACAGAAAAAAAGAAAATGAATGCTAAAACATCTACTACAAAGTCGGACACAGAGAAACCACCACCAAAAATGAAAAAAACGGCAGGTGTTCCAGTTAAAAAGAAAAGAAATCGTAATGAGGTAGTGATGGATCTTAAGGACATGGTTGTTCAGAAACGTATGGCTAGTTTGAATGCGACAGCCATTCTTGCTGCAAGTTACGAGAAACGTTCGCCTAAGTCTAATAAAGACGATACTACTTCTGATTCATGTAGTGATGAATCTTTTTCACAGAAACCAAAAAACGGGGCAAATTCCGGCGTAAAGTCGGAAACAAAAAAAGAAGATACTAAAAATGAAAATGATGAAACCGCTTTATCTGACAGAAAACAGAAAGTGGAAGTTATTGTAAATCAAGACACTGATGTGACAATAACTGGGGTATATTCAACTCACCATGAAGGTTTCTGTACCGCTATGCAATACCGAATCTCGTCAACAAGTCATACGCAAACAACAGCGACGTCAAACTGTGAAAAGGTAAGAATGACATCAAATTAATTTTCAGTCTCTATACGAATATACAATAACCTTAATTGGGAGTAATGCTAAAATTAAATGTTTTAACCCAACTTGTAGAGTTCAAAACAATAATACCAAAAGTCATATCGGGTGAAAGTCAGCAAATTGGTGGGTGTAATACTGGTACGTAATAGAGATGCTATACCCACTGGCGCTTAGGGTCTCATTAATAGCCAGTAATGAAGTAAGTTCTATGTAAACACGCCTCGGGATCTCATCTCGACATTATTCTTCATAGCGTTCCCTACGAAACCAAGTATGGAAAAGTAGACCTTTTGTCATATGAGCAAATGGTTAATTTCGAATGAACTATGTTATCAATTGAAGTGTAAACGATTTATGCGGGAAAGGAGTTACCCTTAACACGTACTACACAGATTTATATAATCTGACGTGGTCTGATGCGTGAAACCTTATAAATATTACGTTAATGAATTCTCGGAGGATTCCAACTGTCTTTGAGAGGGCTTTCACATTAGGCGCTTTAATCACGCAGCAAAAGCGTTGCAACCGCAGACACTTTCACGTTGCTGAGCCTTGGAGCCTTTATCAAGACGTTTTTCACATTTGGCGACTATTGCTTTGCTAATGTAAGTCTCGTGACCATGCTCCTAAGATATACAATGCGCAAAACACTTTTACCTAAGATAAAATATCATAATACAATTCTAATTCTAATCATAGAATAGTATTTTACTTTGAAAATTCAATGAGTATAGCTTTTATCCTGAAAAACCGAATACTTCCTATTTTATATAAAGAAGTAACTCTTTTACCGCAATTTCGCCTGAATAAAATATAGCCTATATTACCCGCGTATGCTCAAGCTTCATGTAGGCGAAATAATTTTCATAATCAAATAAGTATTTCCGAAGAATTACCCCCTACAAACAAAGACACAAAGTTAGAAAACTTAACCTCTTTTCATAATATTAGTACATGGTATAAATAGCAAACCTATCTTTGACATATTAGTACAAATAACATCATAATTGCAGGAGGGCTGTTCTCGCGAAGATGGTGCTCGCTACACACCTCTTTCAGCACTATCGTCAATGCAGCCTCCGGCCGAACACGTCCATGGCCACCCGCATCCAGGTATCGCAATATTTTTTTAACAATAACTAACTGTTCCGTAAATTTTAGCCTATGTCACCCGCGTATAATATAGCTTCTTGTAGATGAAATTTCTTTTAAAATGGTCCAGTAATTTCGATATATTGAACACAAACCAACAATAAAATCATTCCTCTTTATAGTATAGATGAATACAATCCGTTTTCAAGTGGTCTCGCATTCTCTTTTTTTAAATAAATTTATAATTGAATAAATGTTTACAAGTAATATCTTAAAGAGATAATCAAATTATAATTAACACGTACCTTGGTTGGTGTATCAAAAATTAATATCCTCTGTGCAAGTTCTGCTTATTTTATTACCTAGATTGATCATTTAAATAGTAGGCGGGCATGAAGGTTGTTTAAAAGAGTTATATCTATCAAAAGCTCATAAAACATCGTTTTAAATGGACAGCTGACGACAATCAAGGTCATTAACAATGGCAAATAACGCAAGAATGAGACGTGAAACGTCCTACAGCGGAATTCAACTCAATTAGAACATCCCACGCGTCAACAAATGCAATATGTCAAGTTGAACGCCTCCAACGGGGACAAAAAACTTTACAAAGGTCTGGCATAATGAAATCTCTCCTGGGATTAGTAATAAAATGTTTATTTGACATATTAGAATGGCGAAAGTTTTGATGTTCGTTACTCAATTACATTTTACGGTAAGATGAAGTTATTGTGCGGCGTGTGGGTAATCCTTGTACAACATGGATTCTTCAAAATAACTAAATTTATTTTATTAAATAAATAGTAATAATATTTCATCAATTTTACATTCACAATACTATAATGAAAAATATTATAAATGAAAAATTCTTAAAAAACCCACTTTATCCCATCTCAGAGTGTAAGGGACAGTATGAATATTTTAAACATTCTTTATTAAAAATAAAAAAATGGTTGTTGACCTAATTACTCGGAATCGCTAGTAAAAAATCAAACTGTGAATTTTCAGATTTGCTGCTCACAACTAAGGTTAATTATGAATATGATAACATGTCAAAAAAAAAATTCTCCGTGAATAACAAGACGTTTTCGATAACTACTGTACCAATGCAAAAATCGATAAAAACACGTGTTACACATAAAAACAAATGAAAGCTGTGTCATTACAAGCTCACGCAAACATAACAAACTGAATTAAACTAGTTTAATTTATATTTTATTCCGTCTTCGAATTAACCGTATCCCAAATGTCATTAAAATCTGGTCAGTAATTTTGGTGCTAAAGAGTAACACTTACAAACATCCGTCATATGTATCAGAACTGATGTGTTTCTTCTTCGTTCTTCGTATCAGACAAAAGACGTCCTGAACGAGTTGAAGAAAATAAAATTATAGACGAATCAAAAAAACTTGATAAGTTTATTTAATTAAAGATTATTTCGACTTTGACATCTGCATAAACTTTCGCATTTATAATATTAGTAGTTTATTGAAAATATTATTTAAAACCAACTTTCCGGCTACTTATTCATTTACATTAAATTCGATGCTGAAATCAACGAATAAATTAATTACACCGCTCACACAACCTTCCTCCTCGAAAGCCAGCTGTCAAAAGAGCTAAAAAAGATCTATGCAAAAAGGTATGCCAGCAGATATATTTATCGATGTTCCGAATACATCTCCGTTTACTAAAGCGTAGCATATGAATTCTCTTTGCTCATTATGTGTGGGTCCGTGGCCGAAGCCGAAATTCCGACCAAAGAGAATTCATACACAACGTTTTAAGACCGATTGAAAGCGGAGGGAATAGTTATTAGTACTAACTGAAAGCGGAGATAATAGTTGCGCAGACAGAGTTGTCATCATCACAGGCTAATTAATCTCCCCATTGCTGGTGCTTAAGCCTTGCCTATGGATGGAACCGACTCAAATCGAATAGGAAGTATTGGCCATGACCAAGACCAACGCGAGCTCAATGGGGATCGGTGGGTGTTAACAACTGCAGATACAGTAATGGCTTAACGTGCCTTCAGAAGCACGGAAGAGCTCGACTCTTTGGTCACTCATCCTATTAGCGGCCTTTTCGAAAGTTACATTACCAATTATATATTAATTTATGTAGGTGAACAAACAATTAGCACGAATGTATGTATAGTTATCAGCACCCCCATTTTTAGACAAATAGACCTAAAAAGTGACTTAAAATTTTTTGTTTATAAATTTCTCATACATTTATATGTATATGACTAGCTGTTTTCCCACGAATTCACTCTCTTAAATTATAGCCTATGTCCTTCGCGTATGATGTAGCTTCCCTTACGTGAAAAAAAAAACTAAAATTGGCCCTATAGTTTCTGGGTCTGTACCAAAAATCACATACTTCCTCATTATTTTTATTTTTTAACGAATAAAATTATATGATTGCTGACAAACTATTTAATGAAAGGCAACTTAAATGCAATTAAACAGATGGAATAACTTCATAATATTAGTATACATAAATTACTAAATTATTTCGATAACAACATGTGTATATACAATCCTGGCAATAGCTAATCACGATAACAAGTCGTCCGCCTCTAGTATAACCGCATATTGAGTCCTTCACAACTAACCGTAATACTTGTGACACCTTACAGTGCTAACCACCGAGTTAAAAAATTCTGCTCGTAGAGGGGCGAAACACGTGTAGACTAATGGTTTTGCGAGATTTGTTGCCGTTTGTACATGTGAATTTGTGTGCGGACGGTGCGGTGTGAGCATGCCATATGGATGCCGACTGGGTTTAGAAGTTGCTAGATATCATATTTTTACGTTTATAGCAGTGAACTTCCGCAAAATAACGTCTGATTCTATTAAATAATAACGAATGAGGTTATTATATACGACCGGCTCTACAATTCTGTAAAAATCCAGACCCGAATCCAAATTCACGGAGGTGTCCGAATTTACGTTGTTTAGTGTAGAAATTCTATTGATTCCATTTTTTTATGTAAAAGTACAAGACATAATTGATTGGATATATACGTGTCCCAGATATTATATTCCTATGTCATTTCGAAACTCACTTCACTTATGCAACAAAACTTTATTACCAAATTAAGGTTCAGTGGATCAGGGCTTGAAACCGGTTCAGAATAAACCGTATTATAACCGTAGGTAAAACCTGTTCTCTTGTAATGTTCCGTACCGGATAGGAACTAAATGCAGAGTGAAATTCGGATGGAATAAAAACCGGTTAATTCGCTCGGTTCGTAAAAAGCAATGTTCTTACGCTTTTAATTCGAATTATATCATTTTTAAGCGACGACATTTATCATACCTGTGTACGGATGTTATAGATATGAGTATAGGCATTTAAAAACCGCGCTGAAGTTTATGAGATCATTGCCTGGTGTCATATTTAAACCGGTTAATTAAGAAAACCGTATTTACCTGTTCAAAGGAGCTTAACCTTTTTTGTAAAGTTCCGCTTGTACTTACATCGAACCGGTTTCCAAGCCCTGCAGCGGATGCCGCTTTTTAAAGTGGATTCGGATCGCAGGGCAGAACGCAAATTTACACTAGACACATAATAAAGAAAAGAAAAATCACCCAATGAGGATTATCGACTGGTGTCGTGTGTCGTAACTAAACAATATAGGTCACTTACACCACATGTAAATATCTAATTGAAATATATTCGCAAACAACGTCATGGTGACTGCTGGCACCACGCCAGCGTACAGATGTCGTACTACACAAGTTGGCTGATGTACCGCTCTGTTCGCGATTAGCGTCGTATTCATTTAATATTTACAAACAGATAAATAACTTTCACAACTTTTCTGCCCCAAGCCAAGTTGACTAAGGGTTTATTCCTCTAGCTTTATTTTAGTTTGCTTTCTTACTTACACTCTTTATTCTTAAACCGTGAATAAAAGGTCCTCTTGAAAAACGACTCTTTAAATAAGAACTGTTTCGTTATTTAAGCTGTACGAATGTATTTTGAATGCGACAAAGGCTGATGAAGTTACTTTTATTTATTTGTTCTTCAACGATATATGCATAAATCATTCTATAATTAAATTTTATAGCAACGGTTCCCAGTCTATTTGATCTAAGCGCCATTTTTTCTGAACTCTCTCTTTTTGAAAACTTAATTCGGAACAACTATGGAGTTTTTTTAATGAACATTTTGATATAAAGTATAAACGGCCCATGTTTTTGAATATAAAAGTGTTTAAATTTCTTGCCACTTGGGTCCCTGACCTACAACATACTTTTTGCCATAGGGATCAAACGCCATAATAGTGATCCTAAAAAATAGAATCCTACCTTAAACGATATAGAAAAAAACGCTGAATCCAAATATTTATGTAACTCAATATCACCAAAAATGTCGCTTAGATGAATTAGACCGGAAACCGTCGTTATAACAATGTACTAAATGCTGTTATTCATATTCCAACAACTAAGCCAAAAATTATTACAATATTACCCAAATAAAATGAGTAGCATGTCAAGTCATGACTCTTGATATCAAGAATTAATTGAAGGAGTAGGTATGTATACACGTTTCTTGCACTGCTGCTGCACACACCAAAAGGGAGAGAGAGTGACATTACTTTTTCCTTTTGTAAAATTATTATAGTTGGGAATTATAATTTGACACTTTACCATTTACAAACAGTTACTTTTAAGATATCGTCAAAGAGATACATTTTTGAGAAGCTGATTAAAATGCACCTTCGTCGGTTAGTTATAATAATAGAAGGACTCATAAAAACTTGAAAAATATATCTCACATGCTAAGCTGGACACTCATCTAGTATTTTTAAAATTAATATTAAACTCATTATTAAGCATTACTAAGTGAATGTGTAAAATTGTTACCTAATTGTACATAAGTGTACATAAGTGTAAGTAACTTTATCTATGTTATAGCAATTATTTGTAATTTGTTAAGAACGTTTGCTATGATTTGTGATAGAATCAAAGTACTAGTTTAAAACTACTGTTCAATAAATTATTAAGGAC